CCTCTCTCCCTCTCTCCCTCTCTCCCTCTCTCCCTCTCTCCCTCTCCCCTAGAGTATACCTATCCCTGGATTATATTGATCAAATTCTGGGTTTTCCTCCCAGGGCCAGGGATCTCATCATATACCCATAATCCTGAAAAGGCTGGTATGTCCCTACAGCAGTGCATGGACAAGGCAAAGGTGGTAGTTCCTGCAGGAAAATATCAAGAGACGCCTGTTTACTTGGGAGCGACAGCAGGCATGCGGTTGCTGAGGTACCAAAGAAGAATACTACGGGCACTTTGGTTGAGAGACCAGGAGTGCCAGGGATTATCTCCATGGCTTGCAATTTTCAAAGTTCCTTTGGGATCAGCAGTGATAAAAAGTTTTGCATCCATGTCTGGTTTGGCTGTTCCTCTGCCCATCCCTGGGGAGGTCTGTGTTGCATATTAGCCTTATGCAATGTCTGCATTCCGGGTTGCTTTTAAATAAGTTTCAGTGCTCACTTGTGTCACGTAGATGGGAAGTTCATAAACAAACTTACATTTCTGCTTAGCACAGTGCTGCAGTATTGCTCCCCCACCCACCCCCTATTTTTTCTGTGCACTACAACATTTGTCTTCAGCCCCTAAGTAAGGATCCTCAGTTGGAAAGCAGAGCCCCATCTGGTACGTTGCGAGCCCCTCTAGAGCCACCATTTTTTGGGTTGCCATTTGGAAGGAACTGTTGCTAGGGTGCTTGTACAGACAGTATAAGGGTACCACAGCTCTTTGTTCCTCTTTGCGCACATGCAGAGAGGAGCAGCAGGATAATGAGATGACATCAGTTGGTGATGGAGATGATTCCTCCATGAATTTCACCCATGGCTTGTTTCTCACAGAACTTCTGGTGTTCAGGTTGTATTTTCTGTTTCTAGTCCACTTGGTTCTGGCTTTGATACTGGTAACTCTGGCTTCACCTCTTCTTGTTGCATGAGTCTGATGTCAGGTTCATGTATCTCAATGGATCCCAGCTCTAGAAAGGGTGAAGACCACTGCACTACAATCTCCAGCTTATCAAAGCAAGTAGGAATGTGGTGGTGGGGAAGTATCATCTATTTCCCTCACTGGTTTGTTACTGTGCAGGAGACTGTGTGTACCCTAGTCATGTATCAATGTGACCCACTTTTCCATTTGAGCCACTAACCCACACTGAAATGGCTTCAGCCTAAGGAAGTAGCCCCTCTTTCCACTGTCCCTGATTCCTAAGAGGCTTAGGTTCTATATTCAGTTTAGTGGATGCCTCCAGACTGGGTAGTGACCCACACCATGGCAGTCAGGCATCTTTTGACAAAGTGGCAAGGTACCTGCACAGGGCCCACAAAAGAGGGGAACTGAGAGGAGACAGATTTGGCTATAACTACGGGGCTAGCAAAGGTCTGATTGCTAACACAGGGGTCCAAGGTCTGAGCAGCAAATAATTGAAAGGGGTGCAGAAGAAGGCGAGAGACATTTTGTATGTCAGTGGGCGCTTCTGCCCACCCAAGACAGGGATAGTCCAGAGCAGGCAAAAACTCAGTTTGGGAATACATCCCTTCCCCAAATATAGAGTAAGCAGCCAGATCCAAAAACAAAAGATTATTTTGTTTCTGGATCTCAAAAGACAAGGTGATCTGGTGTGCCACTGTCTGGTTGAAGAGGAAAAGGGGTGATTCAGGGTCCTGGAAAAAGCTTCAAAAAATAACCCAGGGAGGTAGGCAGGGGCTTGTTTGGGGGGCATTTTTTTTTTTTTTTTGCTGATCATTGATGGGTGGTTTTGGCATGTAAGACCCTGTTCAACGTTATGTGAAGGACTGTCTTTCCTTAGCAGGCTTCTTTATGGCTAAAGGCATGTTGATTAATTACTGAGAGGCCTTGATGGCCATTCAGAGGCAGCCATATTCTTCCCTCAGTACTGTTGAGTTATGTGTGGGCCCTTTTGCTGCAGTCAGAATTCCTGTGTTTTGGCTTAATGTGCCATATAGGTAGGAGCTGGTCCCATCATCACAACTGGGAAGAGCAGATTTTAACCAAAATGGAAGCTTGTTGGCAACATCTTACTAGACAAATGCACTGTATTGCCCTGAAGTGTTGCCATGAGCATTTGGTGAATCAGAATCCCCTAACTGGTTACTCATTGTCCACACTGCCCTTTCTTTCAATGGCAGTGGTGCACTAGTTGACACCAGAGGTGAGCCTTTAGCCGAGCAACTTAGTTTATCACACACTCCTAGCAAGGAATCTACAATAAATAGACCACAAGGGCTGCTTCTGAACGTGCATTTTTCTATGTCTGTTTATAAAGTGTTAGTACAGAGACAGACAGAAAACTGCTTGGAAACGCATGTCCCTTGGGCAGTCTCAGATGTAAGTGAGATGCACACCTTTCAAAGTACTTGGAACCTTCTTTGCAGTTCACATTTCATTCTAGCGTCTGTCCCATCTGGGGTAAATGCACACACAGAATGTCTGGGTTCTTTCCAGCAGACATTTTTGTAAGGCCAAGAAGGAAATGGACATCAAACATGTCCCTAATGGAGCTGTATTGACAAGCCCTACCCCTACTCTTTCCTACATGTAGAAAGCAGGACAAGAATGTTTCTGAGAAGGTCCTCTCTGAAGTGGCAGCAACACTGCGCTCGTACCCTTTCAATTTCCAGGGTGCCAGGATCCTCAGCGGTGGAGAAGAAGGTGCCTATGGCTGGATCACTGTTAATTACCTGCTGGGCAATTTTAAGGAGGTAATGTCAGAAAGGCGGTGGTGTGGCACCACAGAGCCTGGTCATACCTTGAGTCCCCTCTTTACAGCACAAGAGTCCTTATCATTTTTGAGTGTTCCAGTTCCATCTGAACATCCAAGAGGTTGTTAGGAATGGAAATGGAATCCACGCTGACAGATTCCTGTGGGCTAGTCATGTGAATCTGTTTCAGCAAAAACAAAAAAAATATGGCATTATAAAAAGCTGTACTGTACTGTAGTGTAACCACTTGTGAGTTAGAGCTCTGATGTCACAGACTGTGGACCACAAAAGTTTATGCCATAACGAGGTGCCACTGAGGCTCTTTTTGCTGCAGTTAATGGATGTGCATTTTTTTCATTTCATAGGTTTTAATTTGCTTAATAAAAGCAATTGTTGCTATTAATATTGGCTAGTTTTCAGAGGGAAAATCTCCATGCTCCTCTTCTCCCACTCTCCTCACCATGTACTTACTGCGCTCCAGGTGCTAGTCGTGGCTGATCAGGTGCGAGGCTTGCAGTGACCAGCTAGACAGGCCACGGAGAATCTTCACCCTCCCTGAGACACACTTTGGATACTGCTTTGGCAGTGTTTGAAGCTTGGCATCTGGGATACTTCAGAGTACCTGACCTCACAATAACATTTTCCAGGGTCCACTGAAGTACTAGAGGAGGCATTGGGAGTGGGGTGGGATTAAAAAGAACTACATGCCTGCTGGCTGGCCGGCCACTGTTACAAGCTTGGCGCCTCATAGAAGTAGTGGCTACCACCTGCAACACAGTAAGTGGGGGAAGTAGAGAAAGAAAGGAAGGGGGGAACAAAAGGAAGGAATCAAGGAAGGAAATCTCCTTTTCCATCAGAAGCATTCACTGCTTTTTCCTATTTGCTTTCATTATACACATTAATGAAAGGAGTGAGGATTTTTTAGATTGTGTTGTCATGAGTTCGGAAACAATATTTAATCAGAACTGCAATATATACTGCTTCCATGCTGAGTTAAAAGATCTCTCAAGTCCTCCCTGCTTTCGCTTCCTCATCTCCTGATCTAAACAATTACTGTATCAGCTACTGTATTTGTGGATGTTACTCCAATGAAGACTTGTCCTGTGGATTGTGAAAGAGAATGGAATAGATGATGTCTTCATATCCTCTGGCAACCAGAGATGTGGGTGGGTGTTTATCACAGCACAGATAGCCCTTAATTCACTGTGTTGATTATTCTATTCACTATGTTGCTTATACTGTTGCACAGAATATTACCCAAACTGCCTGTCTCCATTTTGATGGGAAATTAGCAAGGAGGCCAAACAGGAAAAATGGGCTTAACAGGCATTACACCTATATATACTAGGGTCAGATTCAAGAGGAAATCTTCTTGAAAGGACCAGGACACCAAATTAAAGTAAATTATTTATTGGAATAAAACTAAGACACACATACCAAAGAATTCAGTATAACATATACTCAAGACTGCAGGGAAACAAAGTAGCAGGAGACATAAAGGAAGTTTTGAGGTGATATTTACCAGATCCAGATGTGCGGAAGTCTGTGAAGAGGGATTGTGAACTGCCAGCATATCACAATCAAGAAAGGGAGGGACCCAAAGTGTCAGTTTGGGGGTGAGACTCAGATAGGCGCCCTTTGAGTGACACACCGAACTGTGGCTGGGCCACCTATTTATATAGACGGAGGAGCACTACAATAGGTGTGATGGCACCTTAACGAGTGCTTTCCTGGAATGTAGATATCAGTCTGTTGGCTGATATTTGTCTAAAATCTTAAGTTACTCTGGGGAATCTCATCGGGAGATGAGTCATAGGAACTGGAGATGTAGATTTCTTATTGTAAAGAAATGCAGAAAGTGACAGGAGATATGGCGGAGAGGAGGAGGCCATGAGCAAACAGATGTCTGCATTATGAAAGAGAATGTCGCAGGATGAGATTAGCAGTTTTCAAGGAGACAAAGGTAATTCAGAGAGGAATTGTCCTCAAAGGGACGCACTGAACAGCTGTAAGAGAGACTTTTGCATACTTGTGGGGGGGGAATAGCAGATGGCATCTAGGAGAAATGCTCTGTTCTGCCAGCTTTCCAGACAGCCTATATTTCAGGCCAATCTCCCATGATACCTGAAATGTCACTCTTTCTGGGCTAACCTCAGATCCTGGAACACTGCTTTGGGGAGTCTCTGGGTGTCTTCAGAGGTTTGGGGTGTCTGTAAATGCAGGTGTAACAGACTACCCCTGTGGCAGGGCCTGATGTGGGGGTTACAAGAGAATGCACTGCCGTTATTAGCTTATGGGGCATCTGAAGCTTATTCTCCTGACTGACATACTAGTTGTCGGTGATTTTGAACTGCTGTTTGCTATACTTGTGAAAGTGTAATTTCACCATAAACTAGTAATTCTGTTCCTCTGCCTTCTTTCCATCCTGATAGAAGGGAATGTGGTCAAGGAACAATCTTCTGTATCCTGCCCCCAGTAAAAACATTCACCTCCCCAAAGTACTGCTGCTTACGCTGGCCTTAAAATCTGCAGACTCCCCACATGCTGTGCCATTCTTTTAGTGGCAGCTCCTGTCCTGGGCTGTACCACTTCCCCAAAAGATGTGATAGAAAGAGACTGGAGTTGAAACAACAGAGGTGGTCCTGATGGGAAGCTTGTCTGCTTTTCAAGGAACTCAATATCATTATGATTTGAGAGGTGCGGGGGAAGGAAGGCTGATGTTTGCACTTGCGGTGGTTTGAAAGGTTTTGTGCATATGTGCCTCAGTGTGCTATAAGCACACTATTGTATGAAAGGCATGAAGCACTGACATAGCTCAAGCTTTGGTCTCTGCACTGCTTTTCCCCTGCTGAAGGTCACTCAGAGGGACAGCACACTCCAGTTCACTAAATTTCTAGGGGGTAAGGTTTTCCAGGGAGAAAGCAAATAGCGGTTATCAAAGTGCAAGGACCATATTAGTTAAAGATGTCCTATGCTTCTGTCTATTGTTGACAGTGATGACACATAACTTAGGATTCCGATTCCACACCAGAGCCATCAGCTGCTGCAGGGATGCCTGCTGAACTGACAAGGCTACTGGGGCCCTTATTTTCCTTTCAATCTGATCTTAGTAGATCAGTTCACACCCTGACATTGTACCTCCCACTCAGTTGTCAACCTGCCATAGTATCTGCAATGATCTCTCCTTCATCCCAAACCTCTTGGGCAGGTATGCAGATAGTGGTACCATCTTTCTTCAGAGGGAATTCACTTTGCTTATATTACTGTACAAGATTTTATAGAACCCCTGGTGTTCAGAGGAACAGTATTTGCTGAGATTTATTACTAGTAATCTGTGCATCACACTGTGGTTTGATTGCTTTGTCTGTACACTCTGGGACACATTTCCATTCTTTTTACTTTAGTCCTGAATGATCCAATATATCTATTTCCTCCTAACTCAGGTCCAAACTACACATGATGTTGGAGTTCCATGAATGGAACTATTACTATATGAACCTTAAAAGTGCCTGGATTTGGTGTTAAAATGGAGCACTTTCTCTCCAGCTTGCCACTAATATAATCAAAAATGACCCTTCCCCATAGGAATAAAGAAAGGTACCTGTATTTTACCTGTCTTTTCCCTAGTAAAGCTTAAAACAGCCGGGGGGACATGTTTGTGTCTTTATATGTTTTATCTAATCATTTTAAATATTTTATATATATTTGTATTTTAAGTGCATTTTAATGTTTGAATTGTTTTAATATTCACTGCCTTGGGTGGGAAATGAGGCATAGAAATGTTTTAAATAAGTACTTTTTTTCAGTAGAAAATGGCATGGCAGAGGTAAATTCTCCCTTTCCCCAGCACGATAGCCCTGATCCGGGGTGGGTGGGTGGGTGGAATCACAAGGCTACTTTTTAGGGCCAAATCACATATTTTGAGTTCCAAAAATGCCACTTCAACATCATGTGTACTTCGGCCCTTACTTCTTGCCTATGCTAAGCATCCCTCTAACCATCTCCTTTTCCCCTGCCTCCATTTTCCTCAGCCAGATCCCCTTCTGTGGCTCCCCCAACCTGGCTCTTCTGTCCCTTGGCCTGACCCTGCAGCTTTCTCCCAATGGACATGTTCTTTTTGCAGTCTGTCTGGCCACGTTTCCTGCCCCGTCCATTCTCCAGTCTGGGGACAACAGGGGCATTGGACCTTGGAGGAGCTTCCACACAGATAACCTTTGTACCGGACCAGGAAAAGATCGAGTCACAAGGAGATATTGTGAATTTCTATCTCTATGGGAAGAACTACAGTGTATATACACACAGCTTCCTGTGTTATGGGAAGGACCAGGCACTACGCCTGAAGCTGGTCAATGATGTTCAGGCAAGTATGGAGTTGCCAACCCCTGTGGTTTGTTGTTGTTTTTTTGGGTGGTGGTGGTGGTGATGAAGCTGATGATGAAGTTCATCTAGACTTGGTTCTTTTAATAATATTAATATTGTAAACTCTGAGCTTTCTAAGACCCTGGAGAGATTCCCCTAGATACACTCCTGAAATTTCCCCATCCAAGAAAATTAGACCCCTTAAAAAAATAAACCTCAGACACTATAGGAGCCCATCTTACACTGTTAGGTAAAGCTTTCCACAATTTGAGGAGTATTTTGGTTGCAGCCAAGAAGTGAACCAAAACAAAATGACATTGTCTTGAGATATTGGCCAGGTCTAGGGATCACTGTTTAACTCTGTTCTATCCAGCCAGCTCTTCCTCCAAAGAGTTCAGATTAGTGTATGTGGTCCCCTCTTCTACATTTTATCTTCACAAATAACCATGTGAGGTATGATTGACTGAAAAGGAGTGATTCGCCCAAAATCACCCACTGAACTTCATGGCAGACTGGGGTTTGAAACGGGGTCTTCCTGATACTGTTTCACTGCAACACAACGATGACTTGCCAAAGTAAGTAAAGATCCAGAGCAAAGAGGGAACCTAGCTCTCTTGGGCTCCTCTGTGCTTGCTAATTATCTCCTGTCACTTAGGCTCTGGGTGGCTTTTTATTTATTTAGAATATTTATATGCCACTTTTCTCCTGGAACTCCAGACTCAAAGAGATTTCAAACTTTGAAATCAAACACAAAGATGTTCTTCTGGCCACCAGTTTGTTGTTTCACTACCCTTGCCCTGATTCCAACCATGTACCCATGCCTAGATCCATGTTCTTCTGTGTCTTCCAACTCACCTAGTTATTTTTGTGATGCTTATGTGTCTTCTGACTCACCTGATTACTTTTTCTGCAGGGGAAAGCGGCTGAGAGATACCAGGATCCATGTTTCCACCCAGGTTATAAGAGGACAGTAAAAGTTTCTGACCTGCTCACAAACCCCTGCACTGCTGGTAGTTTGCCTTCCCTACCCTTCTCACAGATTGAAATTGAGGGCACTGGGCACTATGAAAACTGCCAAGCCAGCACCCAGAGAATCTTCAATCTTACTCACTGCCCTTATTCCAAATGCTCATTCAATGGCATTTTTTTACCTCCTGTGCAAGGGGAATTTGCGGTGAGTCTATGCAGACACCAATCTGCCTGCAGTAGAGGCTGATGGCTTGACACTAGAGAATGCAATTTGACTACCGTTACAATAATTTATTTAGAAAAATATGCTTCTTCAGAGACCAGCTTGAAGAGGCTCACAAGATAAACTCGTAGAAACATAAATTCATTAAAATTAAGAAACCGTTAAGAACCCAGGTCATAAAACATTTGGCAGCTTGAATGATACAAAAGTCCTCAGTTTAGGCACAAACAATAAGAAAGATCAACCCCTAGTTAAAAGCCTAGATTAAAAAAAATGTTTTGGCCTGCACCTAAAAGACACTAGAGTAGGTCCCAGATGCGCTTCAAGGGGGGAGGGCATTCCACAGGTGAGGTGCCATTACTCTGGTGATCAGCCATTTCTCTGGTCGCCACCTGCCTTACCTCTGCAGACTGGGGCCTGGACAGCAGAGCTTGTAAAGCGGATTCAGTACATGGGAAGGCATATTAAGGACTTGCCTTCATATCCTTAATGGGAGCCTAATTAAGACTGATGTTCTGTACTACCTACATAATGGGAGGGAGAGCGAGAAAGCCAGCAGTGAGTCTGTTCCTGTCTGTTCTCTCTAAGCCACCAAAATGAGGCTTCCCAACCCCACACCTAGGGCAATGAGACAGATGACCCACTGTTAGAAAAGGGCTGCTTTGATTACTGTGTCATGGTCCCAAAAACTGTGTAAGCTTGGAGGATGAAGTAACAGAGCACAGCCCGAGTTACACAGGGCCTTTCCTCACAATTGTGACTTTGCACCTTAATACCTACTTAGATCAAGATGGATGGAGATGCGGATAATCCAAAAGGAGCACCTAGAATTAGCAAGAGCACTACCAACATTTCGACAGCATTTTGAACTGTGCTTCATGCACTGGATAACTTCACTGTGTATTTGTCCTTCTAACTACAGTTTTGATAGGAATCAAGGAATAGAGGAACCAAGCAAATAGAGCCTTATGTGGACTTTTAAAGATGGGGGTGCGGGGTACGCGCTACGATTTAGTAAGAAAGCAAATAAAAAGGAAAATAAGACACAGAAAAGTAAACATAAAATAGCATTCTAGCCAAAGTTGATGAAGGTGGGCACTGGGCAGGTATCTGTCTGTATATCATCTCTCTTCTCTCTGTCTTCTCTGTCTTCATATAGCAATAGCCTTGAGCAGAATATTGGTGGGTATCTGTCTGCATTTCAACCATTCAAAGAAGATTATTAGTGCAATATTCAGAGAAGCAAAGTTATCCATCCCTTAAAAGAAAAATTGGCTTTTTTTGTACCAGTATGGTGGAATCCAGCAAATATATAGGCTGCAGAAGAGAATCCTAAGTAATCACTCTTTTTATGGAAAGGAACTGTATGAGGTTGAGGGTCTCATGACCCTCATATCCACTGTGGTTTAGAACTAGCCAAGGTGCATTTTAATTACATTTCAAATCAAACCAGGAGAAAACATATGAGTACTTATTAGAAAATGCCTACAGGGAATGTCTAGTTGTAACCACAGAAGACAATAGATATAAATTATATACAGAACCACATGTGAACAGATAATAACCAGCAAGTGTCTGGTATTTCATGGTCTCATACTAAAGCTGTCCAAAAGGAAACTTTATAATCGAGAGGGAGACATTTTGGCTATTACAATACAAATTAACCATCTTTTATATTAAAAAATCACATCTGTATCTTTTCTGTGCAAACATATCTTATTTTTTCCAGCATTTAAGGCATTATATTATGTAGCTGGGAAAATATTCTTTCATTCCAGTCAGCACATTTGTTACTGTTGCATTTGCTTTGTAGGGTGTGACTAAGACTTACCAACATAATTGATGAGTTGAAGATGAGATCCCCATCCTTGTGTCTGAATTGTTTTGTGACTTTTCTATGTCTTCCACTAGGTGGCAAAGTCCAATCAGGCTATGCTTATCTAGAGCATTTATATTCCTTGTGATTTTAATCAGTATCAGAACCCAGTCAAAACAGCAAATGTTCCATCTCCACAAAATTCCTACAGAACTTCTGAGAATAGGTCTGATGCACATGAAGTACTGTGAGTTGCCATGTGGTATAGCATTATATGGAAACTCCCAGCCCGTGATAAATATTAGATGATTTATGCTGGACACAGCAAGGATTTGACAGGTTCTGTATGTACTGTATTTATGGAGTAGAGATGGAGCATTAACTTTCTAGATTTAGTTTCAGCATCTGTCTCCTCAAGGGTATGGTGGGAGTCCATTGTCTGTGTCCTGTAGCTAACTACCTGCAAGTCTCTGCCCCCAGATTTGTTGGGACTTAGTGCAGAGAGAGCCCTGGTTTCTATTTTATTAGTATTTTTCTAAGCTCATTCATTTCTGTTTCTTTTTAGGCTTTTTCTGCTTTCTACTACGTAATGAACTTTCTAAATGTGACAAAAACACCTATGGATGAAGCAATGCAGAAAATCAAGGCCTTCTGCTCCACACCGTGGGATGAGGTACACTAATTCCCCAAGCAATAAGAAGTGTGAGCCCCAGCTCTAAGGAGGGGTGAAGCATACCACTGGCACCCTTGCAATATGATGTGTAGAGGATTAATGAGCTTGGTTCATTTCTCTGTGTCCAGGTGAAAGCAGAGTTTCCGGGGGTAAAAGAGAAGTACTTGAGTGAGTACTGCTTCGCAGGTGTTTACATAATGTTACTTCTTGACAAGAGCTACCACTTCACTGAGGAGAACTGGTCGTACATCCACTTCCTGGAAAAGGTATCTTAAAATGCAGAGGCAGAAACTGGGAGTGGCAATTGGGGAGCTGGGGTGGAAAGTCTGGGCAGCACATTCTTCTCATTGGTGGAGGTAGTGGTGGGGTTGAATTTTGGATTACAGACTTTTTTCTCTTCTCTCAGAAGTGCCTCAACTTTCTGTGTCCCTCCTGTTATGAGTGACTTCTGTCCCCTCCTTCCGTACTCATTTTAGATTGGTGACAGTGATGCTGGATGGACTCTGGGCTACATGCTGAACCTCACCAACATGATCCCTGCAGAGACGCCTTATACCCACCCATTGTCCCGTATTACCTATATGAGCCTCCTGGTCATCTGTTCCCTTATGATGGTGGCCCTGCTCCTCCTAGGCTTCTTGTTTTTTCGTCAACCAAAGTGCATGAGAAAGGCAATTATTTAAGCTGGGTTTGGCCTAGCCCAGAGCTGAACTTCAGTATAGGTCAGAGAACAATGCTCTTCTGATGTATTCCACTGAAATGACTGACTCCACCAAGGGCCTTGTGTACCACTTTCTCCAGCAATGACAGGCACTCAAGATAATAACATGCTGCTCTTCTGTCCTCTTCCTTGTTTTGGAGACTCAACCCCCATCCTGCTCCTGAGCGGGGTCTGGCAGTGGGAGCCTTGGGTGTCCTATTAAATGCTGATTTCTCTCAGGTCTGCCCTTTTGTGTATTGCCATGGTCATAGGAATGCAACACCAGGGGGCACCCAGTCAGAAATGATTAAACAACACAGGGTGAGACTCAGGAGCAGCTCTTTTCAGTCCCACCAGGAAGATCAACAGTCATACAAAATGCTGCTCATTGGGTCTCCTCCATATGTATGTCAGTTGAACGATATTATTAATTAGTTGAACTAGCACTTTGTGGGGAAATCCTCTATGCGAAGCCTTGTCTCCGCTTAGGAGGCAGAGCCATTTGACAACAGTCTGTCTACCATATCTGTGTGTCAGCCAGAAAAAGGGAATGCACCTGCTCTGCTGAAGTTGACACAGGGTTACAGATCAAAACATTAATCTGGGAGAGAATGTAACTTCCTGCATCTGCCAGGAATGATCCCTAGCCCAGAACCAGCATTTTTTAACTCTGTGGAGTGCCTGTAGCTGCTACCCGGGCAGTGGACCATGTGCTACTGGACTATCTGTTAATTGTTTGGGTTCATCAAAGTGATCTGCAATCAGATGGTTCCTATTGGATGCATAGATCCAGGAAGCTTGACATTATACCTTGCTAAGCAGCCTGTGTTAATGCTGTTGCCATTATCAAGTGCAGTAGAAGATCTCAGAAATTGAGAAGGGTGGGGTAGTTAAAATATTTGCAACTTCTTTCACATCCTTCCAGTTGAAGAGCTCTCAGAGTAGAGGATACATTCTTTACATCCCAGACTCTCCAACACCAAGGGATGAATGAAGTTCATTTGCTAAGAAGAGACTCTGACCTCCTCTGTGATTGAATAACACACAGTGATTGATTGAGTTTCACATTGATGTAACTGGAAATGAAGGGTTCACGTAACCAAAGCCTTCCTGGCCCCCTTCTGGCAAGGAAGCCAATCTGTTATGGAATCTGCTGAATAGCCTATCAGGAAGCTTCTGCCCTTCAGTGATGCTCCTCTCCTACAGGTGCAGTGGGAGGTACTCGAACCAGCCAGCTGCCATTCTTAGCCACTCATATGAAATTCTGCTGCATTGCCACTGCAGGAAAGCTGCATATCTGCCCCATCCCCATTCAGCTGGGGAAGACAGTCTAAAGGAGGAACCTTTATTATCTTCCTTTTGTCATGAGTTTGTTCTAACGGTGATGAAAGTGCAGTCGTCTGCAGATTTTAAGTAGCTTCTAAATAGCAGTCTGAAGGTAAGCTTCAGGGATCCATACATCTAACTGATCCCAAAGGGTTTTATGTGGCTGGCTGAACTTCATACGTAGACCAATGGTGAAGGGAGCTTTGAAAATCTTGTTGGCCTCTAAGGTGCTGCTGGACTTGAATCTAGTTGTTCTGTTGCAGGCCAACACAGCTACCCTCTGAAACTATGCAGACCAATGGGCTTTTGTATGCCAATATATCATGTTTTCAGCTTGCTCCTCCAGTCATTAATGGCATCCTGCTGGAGAAATGCCCTGGGAAAGGGAGATGGAGAGGGAGGTCAGCTTGGGAAGGTAGGAGCATTGAAAGTATTGCATGGTGCTGTGAAGGAGTCAAAGGCTGACCTGGTTGAGTCCGCACATATTTTAACATTCATACCTGGTCCTGAAGTGCCTTTTAGCATTTAGGGGAGATGAAGCTGGCTGTGCTGGTGCTCAATCCATCACAGCTGCCTTCATTCCAATATGTGCTTATACTTAAAAGGTACAAAGTAGGCATGAAGTGTACATACCCCCAGGAGACCTTTTCAATCACACCATTGCCCTCCTCAGGAATATATCAAAGGAGTACATAATCCTTAAGTGGCATCCCAGCTCACTGGCTGACGAGTTTCTGTGTAACCCAAAGTAAAAGTGGAAAAGGGAATATAGACAGAAAATGAGTGTTTAAGGCAATAAGCACAAGACCAGCATGATAACAACTAAATCTTTTTAACTTAAATGTAGTGAGTTGGCTGTTGAAAGTGCACTCACTGCATTTTGGGCACAAGTACAATCTTCTTCCTCAGATCAAACTCAGGAAAAACTTTGTTTCTCATTTGTAGCAGAAGCTGTTTTTGCACAGCTTAAATCGGTTGCCGCTTGTGTCAGTCATAAAGCCATCCTCCTCCTCAGAGCAATTTTTCAAGAGTAATTTTTACAAAAAAATTAATACAGCATTGTGTAACTATTTTATCATATAAACGTGCAAGTAACTTAAAAAACTGGACAGTGTCTTCCTGAGGAATGGATGGAGGCAATGAGGAAGTGACAACCAGCATTCAGTCTGGAGTCTGTCCGTGTACCCTTTGAGGACTAAAGTTAGGAGATGGCAGTACTCCTGTCCTATGAGAAAAATCTACACCCAATCCTCCTGTTTCCTGGTATCTGCATACAGTCTCAGATGGAAGATGTATCAAATATGAAGAGTTCTTTAAAATGCTAGTAATCCTTTGCAAATAAATATTTCAGTAAGAGAATTAAAAACAGTATCTGGCAGTCTGGTTTTCAAATCAATTTGATATGCCCCCACCCCAGTATTTCTCATAGGAAAGAAGGAAATAGGAAGAAGTGCTCTTTTGATAAAATTGGGCATGTTTTTCTTGCATGAATACATGTGCAGTTGCATGGAAATGAAAGCATATACTACCATCACCATGTGAAGACTCACAGTTGTCAGATTTTTCTACTTGTATACTACTGCTTTTCATGTAGGAAATGCACATAATTTGTAGACATAATTATGGTGACAAGGGCAGAAGTGCTGTTTTCACTGTGTGGATGGCTGTGAAATTTATATGCACCCAGGGAACCCTAAAGATAGTGCAATCTGAATGGCTCAAATCTTGACCTGTAGCCTGACATTATAGGAATTCCAGTACCCTAAAGAGGAATGCCAAATTTAATATACAGAACAATATTTACTAAAAGTATATTGAGTTTATTTGTCCTCGCCTCCTGTGTAGAATCCTGCAATAACTCCCATCTTGCATCTTTAGTAAAGGGCATGGGGCCATAAAACAGTAAAGGCTATGCCCACTATTCACTATAACCTATTCACCCACTAAAGACCACCATATTCAAGGCTCAAGAGTGGCACTGATGTGCGCATTGTTTCAGCCAGACTTCCCATTTCTACCTCTAGATTTCTGTATCTACATTCTCTGGCTTGGATGTAAAAGCCAACAGTCTGAAATCAGAGGCAGACATTCATTCAGTATAGTTTCTGGAGTGGATGCTCAGCCTAGACTGTTCTTTTGAAGCAATGAGTGGCTTCAGGAACCACCCAACAGCTCCATGTTTAGGGAGCTGATTCTTAACATGGTCATGTTTAGGTGCCATGCTTGACTTCCTTGACACAAGCTGGAGTCCTAGTGTCCTCCCCACTTCTAAGCCTTGATTTTGCTTGAGACTACATGGTCAAAATCCATTTGTATCTCTGCTGCCCTTAGCAGCCAACTTGCATCAAAAACCTACTGGCTGAAGCTGACTCCATTTAACTTGTCCATATGTTTCAGCCTCTAGCAATTCATTTCATCTGTGTAAATTGCACCACATGGGTAGCCAACCCTATTTTTGGGCCTGGGGTTGATTTTAAACCCTTCAACAATGTGCTGATGCAGACAAACACTGAGGGAAGAAGAAGAAGAAGAAGAGATTGGATTTATACCCCACCCTTCACTACCCAAAGGTGTCTCAGAGCGGCTTACAAACTCCTTTCCCTTCCCCTCCCCACAACAGACACCCTTGTGAGGTAGGTGGGGCTGAGAGAGAGCTCTTGACAGAAACTGCTCTTTTTCAAGTACAGCTCTTATCAGAACTATGGCTTGCCCAAGGTCATCCAGCCAGGTGCCAAGTGGAGGAGTGGGGAATCAAACCTGGTTCTCCCAGATTGGAGTCTGCGCACTTAACCACTACACCAAACTGGGAGGAGGTATGCTGCAAGTCAAGGATTGTCACTTCTGTTAACTGCTTCTGCACCATTGCTGGGGAGTATAAAATTAGTTTCTGCCAGAAGCTTAAGTACAATAGTCACATTTACAGTCCTACAGGTCAGATGCAGGCAATGTGCTCTCCCCTAGCTGTGTTGCACAGTATCCTTGATAATACTAAGTCCCATGCCTTTGCCTTTCATTCCAAAGGAAGCAGACTATTCATGCACACCTCTGTATTTGTATTAAAGATGTTTTGATTAATACCAGTGAAGTTTCTTTCCATTATTTCCCAAAGGAAGGGTGGAAGGGTTGGATCAAATAAGAAATCATCCAACATGTTTTTAAATGGGAGGAATTGCCCAGTGCTTTATCTCCTGGTATTTCTCAGTTACATTCCAGAAGCCCAGATTGGATGGACCTTGGTGGATCTAGTGGAAGGCTTTCTCTTCTTCATTCAAAACCTAGGCTGGCATTTTACTATAGGTAATCTCCAGCAGTAAAGGTGATTAATGTCATGGTTGGGGAAGGGGGGTCTTTGTGAATTAGTTGTTTGCATTTGGAAAAACCAGACTTGTCTCAGCCCTGTTACTAATACTGTTAACCTACACCAGACAGGAAGTAAATTTATTTATTAGATTTTTAGTTGCCACTCACCCAAAGGGTCTTATGGCAACTTACAACATTAAAACCAATAAGGTAAAAACATAATAAATAACAAATGTAAATTATTAACATTAAAATATGTGGCTATCAGCATGCCATTATTAAAACAGACCAAATGTAGTTACCCTCCAAAGGCCAACCTAAACAATTCAGCTTTGTACGCCCTGCGGAAACGAAAAAAGTCCAGCAGGACACGGGTGTCATCAAAGAGTACGTTTCACAGGGTGTAAGGGCCACAACTGAAAAGGCCCTTCCCCCGGTGACAGCTAACTGAGCCATCCTGGGGACTTGCTTGTCGTCTCCTCCTTTCTCCAGTGCTGCTGCTGCGTCGTCGTAGCTTGCTTTCCCAAACTCAATAGCTCAGGAGAGATAGATAGGAAAGCTTCTGCTCCCTGCACTGGGCTGAGGCTCCTCCCCCTCCCAGATTGCTACAGCACAGACATTTTGATGCAATAATTCAGGGCAAGAAGTGTCAGTTATCAGAGACTGTTAAATAAAATACTGCAAGAATGCTAGTGTTTCAAGCATCTTGTTATTTTAAGTTTAAAAAAACCTTTGTGTTTGTGTCCTTTATAAAGTTTATTATCTCCACTACCTGGCATTACATTTTATGACACACATGGCCCGGCCCGACAAAGTCCAATTTATGTCAAATCCGGCCCTTCATAACAAATGAGTTCGACACCCCTGCCCTAGATGATGACCGAAGGAAGCATGGGTGCTTGTAACAGGAGAGGCATTCCCATAGCTATGAGGGTCCCAGACCATTAAGGGTTTTAGTTTAGTGCCAACACTTTGAATTGGATACACAGACAATTTGGTAACTGATTCTCACTTTTTAGTTCTGAAATTTAGCTGCTATTCTAGTATCTACTTAACACTGATAAGAATTTTGAGGAACAGTTGAGGAATAGTTAATCTGACTAGAGGAAACTTATATCTTACTTTGAGGCTGCCCAGCTTTTCTCTTGCCAGCCTTCTTGATTACTTCACCTTCTAACATAAGGCTGGGAAGTAAGACAGCCATAATCATGACCATCACATGAAGTTAAGGCTTGTATGTGGAGCAGAGTGACGACCACTTGATAATTTCATAAAAGGAAGAACCATTAACTTGTAATTTAAATTACTAATTACAAATAAAATGGAAGGGGGGTTAATTATCTAGCATAATAATAATAAAGTCCTCTTTCTCTAAACCTAAAAATGTATTCCTATGTTGGTTATTAGAAATAGTCATCTACTTTTGGGTACTAATATAAACAAAATGATGGTGTTTAGGTGAACCATAGTCCAGAACTTTCTCTGCTGGCCAAAAAAAAAAAAAAAAGCTCTAATACTGCAAGTTCAGTTTGGCACTCTGGAGTCCAAATTACTTTATTTTTTTTCTGGTAAAACCCTAGAGTGGGATGGCAAGAGTTTCAAATTTAGGCAGAATGTAGCAATAATACTTTGCTAACCCCAGGAATTGACAAGAAAAGAGTTTTAGCAAAGGAGAGAACAAACTTTTTTTTTTTGGCCCCCCGAAGGGGAATTCTTTTTATTTTGCATTTTCTACACACTACAAATCTGGAAGAGAACAAACTTGAAACACATCTCTAACTTTGCTTACTTCCCCCATTATGTTCAAGTAGACCAAGTGTGATTACTGTTTAGGTTTCCTTTGGTGCCTTCCCATAAAACCAGCTAATCTTGCAATCAGTTCTTGTAATCACTATTTGAATCCATGCACAGACTCAAGAACAAGCAATGCAGTTAAAGAGTTAAGGGATCTTGTTTATCCTCATCTCTTGTAGACTGTAACATCACCATGTTGTTATGCCTTGAATACGGCCCATACCTTGAGGAGGGTATCCAAAATTCGAGCATTTAAAATAGGTTTTACTGCAACCTGAGGTCCCCCTTTCCCAGGTTTGCAGAACCCTAAATCATAACTACAGCTGGTCCTATTGTGTGGCTCTGCCTGTCCACATGGGCCCTGGTTGCTTCCCAGGCTGAGCCCTGGCATAAATGAAGATACTGCAACCTCCTGTGCGCTCCTTGTTTGTAAGATTTTGATCTGGTGGGAGTCAGTCCCCTGTTTACCCTTCAGTTAATAAATGCCCAGAAATCAGCACAACTTTCCAAACATGCAGAGGCTTTGAGTGAATCTGGCTCCAGGAAGGGGGGCAGAGGAGAGCAAGGCGAAAGCTCAGAGCTATAAATTCTTCCTGAGCTGTGAGGGGCATTCAGTGAGATACGCCTCCCACCACCACCACCACCACAGGTGCAGGGGGCTGGCACTTGGCTGTGAAACTGGAGAGAGCTGGTTCCAGCTTGCACTTTAGTTCTTTCTAGGAAGGGAGCCTGGGCTGTGTGCATCTTTTCAGTGCAGAGGGCAGCTTGTCCATCCCCCAGGAGGATGTCTCAGTGGCTCTGGCTCCTTGGGAAAATCCTGCTCTTGACAAGAGTGGCTGCCTCCGTGAACTTCTTCCACCACCGCTACGAAGACCTGGTGCAAGCCCTGTTTGACGTGCAGGGTGCGTGCCCGTATGTTACGAGGCTGTACAGCATTGGCCGCAGCATCCAGGGCCGCCACCTCTATGTACTGGAGTTCAGCGACTACCCTGGCATCCATGAGCCCAGTAAGTGTGCCGGGGGAGGGGGGACACCCCTTTCCTACAGCTGGGTAATTGCTTCTTTTGCCGCACCGCTGCCTCATGCCAGGGCCAGGAGCAGTAGGGCTTAGTGCTCTCCTGGCGCCAGACCAGCAGTAACCCCTTTGCCAGCAAAATCCATCTGGCCCCCTGGCACTGCTGGCATGGAAAGCACAAACTTCAGAAAGCCCAGGGAGATGAAAGGTTGCGCAGGAGTTGACTCTAATAACTTGTATTTATTTTAGTATGCAAAGTCTTTGAATTGTTTGCCCTTGATCAGCCTCACAAGGCTGTGGGGTACAATTTTGCTCCCATCTTACACAAGAAGGACTGAGACTGAGACATAAGTGACCACAAGCTGGCTGAGGTAGAATCTAAGCTCAGTTCCCCAGGGTTCAAGTCCAGCTCCGTACCCCTCTTCTACAGGGATTCTAGGAAGAGCCGTGGCAGACCAGAGAGGCTGGGTTGGGGTTTGTTTGATGAGGGAATAAGCCAAAGTTTTCCCTTTCCTTTGGTGCTCTGTTGCTTTTTGTGCTGCTATGAATACCTGAAGGGAAAGCAAGGCAGGGACAGGTTACTAGGTCAAGATGGTTCTGCTGTAAACCAGGATGGGAGCATAGGCACCAAAGTGGCAAGACACTTTTTTTTTTTTGCTTGCAAAGTGTTCAGGGCAGAATTCTAGCCTGACAACAGTCCTGTGAGGTAGACTTGCTAATTTCAAGGTTGGAGCAGATGGAGATGTTTTAAACAGCCCTGGAGCAAGCTATCCCAAGTGGGCGTGGAGAGCAGCGTCTGTAGTGCACTTGGCTTAAGCTTGCTCCTGATGCCATTGGCTCTTCAGGGCAGGCACCACTGTCAACTTTCTTGGTAAGTTAAAGGGCCACTCCAACCCTGCTCAAGGTCAAGTAGTCTCCCACACTGATTAAGAAAGCCTGGAGGCCACCCAATCAGACAAATGATAGGCAGGGAACCAAGAGGAAGGATTAAGATTCTGGAGAAGAGCAGATAGGAAAGGACAGAAGGCTGTAGATAGGTGGGGAAGTGCTGTGTGAATTATGGCTTCTTTGACCTGACTCCCTTTGGGACAGTAAGGGTAATAAACCCCACCACCCCTTCACTTCTTCTCTGTGTTTTTAAGCAGCCCCCCCCCCTGCTGCTGCTGCTGCTGTATCTGTGGGGATGAGTGGAAAGTGTCCTTTTGGAACGTGAGCGAGGGAGCTTTCACCCTCCTGCACCTTGGATGGTGCTTAGAGTTAAAGGGGCCACTGTATGGGGGAAATGGTTTTCAGCAAAAGAATTTTTGAGTCCAGGCCAAGCTGAAGGATTGATTTGATTTTGCAGTTTAGTTTTAACCCCCTTGAGGCCTTTGAAGTCAGGAATGTGACATACCAGTGAGTAAGAGGAGCCAGTGAGTGGGTGAGAGAGAGGAGCCGAATCCACAGCGGAAGGGGCCTCTGGCTATGCAAAACAGTGGAATGGAGGCCCTGGCCATGTTGACCTGGATGAAGTCTTCTCAACAGTCCTGCATAAAAAACTCTTGTCTTCTGCATCCATGCCCCCACACACACACACTCACACAAATGGGAAATCTAGTCTCCTCTCTGTTTCTAGTTACCCCTCCCCCATTGTATGGTATCCCCCTGTTCTGCTCCAATGTCAGCAACTCTCTCACTTTCTTAGTGGAGCCGGAGTTCAAGTATGTGGCAAATATGCATGGAAATGAAGTACTTGGTCGGGAGCTGTTAATTCAGCTTGCAGAGTTCCTGTGTGAAGAATATCGGCATGGCAACCAACGCATCACCCAGCTTATCCATGATACACGCATTCACCTCTTGCCCTCAATGAACCCTGATGGATATGAGGTGGCAGCTGCCCAGGTACCAGGCAAGCATCTCTTTTTTATCTCAGCAGTCATGGAGATAGATGAATTTTGTATTGGGGAGAAGGGAGGAGTACTAAGGGAGCCAAACCTGTTGATCTGCACCTTTGCTTAGAGATCTGATCCAGAGTAGCTCTAGGCACTCCAGGTACATTCTGACAAGTGGCAACCAAAACAGATTAAACGGCATAGTGAGAATGGCCCATTTAACAATTCAATACCATTTATCTGAGTGTAACAGCCACATCAGAGCTCCAAGGCCCCAGACCCGTGATTATTGTGTTGACAGGCCTCCGGTATCCCTATAACCATTGAAGAAGAAGAGAAGAAGAAGAGATTGGATTTATACCCTGCCCTTCACTACCCAAAGGAGTCTCAGAGCGGCTTACAAACTCCTTTCCCTTCCCCTCCCCACAACAGACACCCTGTGTGGTAGGTGGAGCTGAGAGAGCTCTTGACAGAAACTGCTCTTTTTCAAGAACAGCTCTTATCAGAACTACGGCTTGCCCAAGGTCATCCAGCCAGGTGCAAGTGGAGGAGTGGGGAATCAAACCCGGTTCTCCCAGATTAGAGTCCGCACACTTAACCACTTCACCAAACTGAACCTGAAAACTATGCTGAAATCCCTGTTCCAGTTCCCAGACCACCAGGATCTGAAACCAGTTTAGTTTCACTCTAGAAAAGTCTGTAGTTCTTGGCTTTTTAAGCCAGAGCAGATATTGTACTGACTGGGGCTTGGGACACCCACAGGACACTCACCAGTCAGTTCCTCTTTCTGTTTTAAACTAACTGGAGATCCAGATTGGTCATAGTGCGGTTCTCAGACCTTTTCCTCCCATTCTGTGTCCATGAGACAACCCATCCATCTAATTCAATCTGGTCGCAAGGTTCTCTGATACCAAAAAGATGGTGATTAGGTCCTGACAGTGTTTGGCAATGTCAGAGAGCTCTGCTCAAAGGATATCTTAGTTGTGTTTTCTTTGCCAGCTATAACACAGCAACATCCAGCAGTTCTGAAGAGCTATAGCCTCCTGCAATATTAGAACTGCTGCTCTCTCCCTCAGCATTAGCTATAAGATAGGGTTTGGGGTGTATTCAACGAACCTTTGGGCTCACATGTGGATGCATTCATTCTCTCTCTAGAGCCAAGGTGTTTTGGGGTACCTCACAGGGAGAAACAACGCCAATGGAGTTGACCTCAACCGTAACTTCCCTGACCTCAACACCATCATGTATTACAATGAGAAACATGGTGGACCCAACCATCACATCCCCTTGCCAGACAACTGGAGAAGTCAGGTAGCATGTTGTACCTTACTCAATGCCTTCTGCCTGCTGGACGTATTGCACCCTTTTTTGAGCACTCAGTGTCTCTAGGATGTGATAATTCAAGCTCATCTGTTCAGTTCTTTTCCTTTCTTCCATCTCCTCAACTCTGGTTTCAGGGCTTGGATGGCCTATTTCAGTGATCAGATAGCTGTCTGTATTTATTTATTTAAACATTTATACCCTGCTTTTCTTCACAATGAGGACTCAATATAACATCATTCTCCCCTCCTCCATTTTATTGTAACACCAACAACCCTGTGAGGTATGTTAGGCTGAAAGACACTGACTGGCTGAAGGTCACTGAGCAAGCTTTCATAAAAGAGTGGGGATTTGAACCTGGGTCTCCTAGATTCTAGTCTGATGCTTTAACCACTACATCAGGCTGGCTTTCCAACACACATAGAAGGGATACTTCTGCTTTTTCCATCCCTACAGCTGCTAAATATGACTTGCAGAAATCAACATGGGCCATGTATTTGGCTTCTTACAACAGTACAGAAGAATAAGTTTCCCATTTGCCATTATACTTTTGTTCTTCACTGACTGCTAGTCCATAAATTGATAAAGAGTTTGTGCTACAGCACTCCTGGGACCATACTATTTCAGCACACAGGGTACGGGAATTCCAAGTGTGATTACTCTCTCATTTTCCTTGCACATACAAAACTGACATGCCAGGGAGAAGGCTATGCTACAGCCTCTCTCTGTCTGACATCGTAACTTTCCATGGCTATTAGTAGGAGACCATTCAGTCATGCACCCCTACATCTGAAGTTCCTGTATCTTGTGCATTTACCCAACTGGGAGGGCTGGAAATCTGGAGGTGCTTCCCCCTTGGCCTCTTGTGCTTCTGTTCCTTTGCAGGTGGAACCAGAGACTCTGGCTGTGATTCAGTGGATGAAAAGCTACAATTTTGTCCTCTCAGCCAATCTTCATGGTGGCGCTGTAGTTGCCAATTACCCATATGACAAAGCCCAGGTGCAAAGGAGCCGGAACTATTGGCCCAGAATGGAGACCCCAACTCCTGATGACACCCTCTTCCAGAAGGTGAGATGGCAAAGCCAAAAGCAAGATGTGATGCAGAGAATGGAGGGAACCAATAAGCATACGCCATACAGGTACTCTTAGAAGATCTAGAAGTGAAAGGATCACATTATTGTTTAGTGTTCATCAATGTTCCCTCTAAGCTGTGGAGTCCTTTGAGCAAAAATTCTATTTTGTGAGCTACTGGCACTAAAGCTGCGAGCAAGTGATTTGGCTGCTGCACAAATCAGTTTGCTCTGGAGCCCTGCTTCCTGAGCTGAGACAGAAAGGTGTGAGCCAGAGGCTAAAAAACTGTGAGCTAGTGCACACTAACTCAGCTTAGAGGGAACGCTGGTGTTCATTACCCTCTTCTATCAAACTGAGCTTGGCTTGTAATTAAGGTGTTCAGTTTAATGTGCTGAGCAGGTGAGGCTAATGAATAAATAAGAGCTTTATTTGACCATAACAAAAACTACTTTTTAATGCAAAGAAGAAAGACATGAAAAGCTGCTTTTTTCTGTTATACATCTGTTGCTGTTGTCAAAGAGAACATCTGTATGATGATCATCCTTATAACACCACTGAAATGCAGAGGGCATATGTGGGAAGCATAGTGGAGTCAAAGCCCTCCTGACAAGAATAGGTATGTGGTCTGGTAAATAGCTTTCATCATTAAGATTAAATTTAATAATGTATCGGGGGGTGGCAGATTTAACTTCAGGTACCATATAGATAGATCAGTCTGCATCAGAACATGAAATAGGGTAGTGAAAGGATATATAAATGGCAAAAGTAAAAGCAAGGAAAGCAGGTGATTAAGTAAGGATACCACTTTGGAGGGGGCAGAGACCAGGACAGTTTGAATGAACAGAACATAAGCAGATCACAGAGTTGGAAGGGGCCATGCAGGCCATCTAGTCCAACCCCCTGCTCAATGCAGGATCAGCCTAGACTGCATCCCTGACACGTGTTTGCCCTGTGTCAGAACCCACAGCTTACAACAAAGTACACACATTCAGGAATGGTTATACGTTAATTGCAAAGCTATAGATGCAGTAACACAGGCACTGTTAAGAATGGCGCCTACCTATTGAGCATAATAGGATATAGGGCATTCGTATGCACACACACCCACACACCCGGCATGGGCCAATTAGCTACCCTCCTGCGCGCGGGATCAGCTAGGAAACAGTTAGGTGGCGAAAGCTGGGAAATAGTAATCTCTCACGGTACCTAGGAGACTTCCAGACAATACAACTTCCAACATAACCTCCTCCAGCACATCTGTAAAGATAAGCGTTGGGGCACAGGCAAAACAGTAGAGACAGGAATGCAATAGCAATTACCAAGACACAGAAGGAACTCCCCCACCCCATGGCAGCATAGCTGACACCCTGCCACTGTTTAAAGACTGCCAGTGAGTGGGAGCTCACCACCTTCGGCCAGGCAGCTGATTCCACTCTTGAACAACTCTTACTGTAAAAAAGCTTTTCCTAATATCCAGCCAGTACCTTCCCACCTTAGTTTAAACTTGGTGGGCTCCCTTATCCTGGACAGTTCATATTACTTGGAATGGAAGAGAATGATAAGAATGCAAACTGTAAGAAGCTGCTGTGAACCGGAGGAGGCTGGAGGGGCTTGCCCTGCACGACAAGAATCACCATTAGTGGGTTGCCTTGTGCTTGGGTTTCTTATGACTCCTTGATACTTTGCAGCAGTTGGCATAAGGCCTCTTTAACTGCTTTGGGTATTATACCAGGGCTGAAATGTCCATATAAGTCTATTTTTTAGCAGGGTTGTTGATCCAGTTTTGTTTGGCAGCCTTCAGCTTTACACTGAGGGTCAGACTTCAGCGGCCCAATCTATATAATGCAAAGCAGGTTGTGCTGACTGCATATAAATTGGGGGTGGGGGATTTAAAATGCAAAAAAGCGTTGTATCCTTCTCCCAGCCAGTTTTCTCCCAGCTGGGGTTACTTGCAGTCTTGAAGTCCTACTAGAATAAAACGGCTGGAAAGAGCAATTTTTAGAGTCAGATCAGAGGATCAAGACTAGAACTACTTTCAGAAACAGCATGTAGGACAGTACATTTCAGACTGTCCTGCTTTAGAAAACAGGCAAGGGAGTCTCATTTATCAGCACGCTGTTATGTAAATAATGCCTCTCCGATGGAAAAATAACTTGTCAGGAAAATGGAGTGCTAGACTAAATGGCTACTGATCCGATCTAGCAAGGCAATTCCTATGTTCTGATAGTTATGGTACTTTTCACCAAGCGTGGGGTTCTCTTGGCTTGATCTGAAGTGCACCAGAGTTTCAGGACATGATATCATTGTACACAGGGTGGGGGTGGATAGAAGCCTCTTGTGTTGTAAGGGATGATTGCTAAGATTCCCCCCCCCCCCGCTCACAGTGGAATGGGTTTCAGTCTGGAATATGCACTCTGTGGTGTGAGTAAAAGGAAGTGTTAAAAGTATGTTACCAACCAACTTGCCATTTTCTTTGCAGCTGGCAAAGGCCTATTCCTATGCTCATGGATGGATGCACCAGGGCTTCAGCTGTGGGGACATATTTCCTGGTGGCATCACAAATGGGGCCTCCTGGTATTCACTCAGCAAGGGTAAGGAGAAGGGGTAAGGTTTTACAGGCAAAGATTTGAAATGTGAAAGGGAAGCTGAAAATAATCGGACTGATATCTCAGTTGGTTATGCTTAGAAACTAAGTGTGGTTCCTACAATAAATTTATTTTCAGTGTACTCTCAGCTGCCTGGGGTGGAGTATGTCATACTTGCTCTGTTGTAAGCCGTCCTGAGCCCTGCTTGCAGGGAAGGGCGGCCTAGCAAATCCAATCAAATAATAAATAAATACTGAAAGATGACGTGCATTTAAAATAAAGAAATGTGTTGGAGGAGGAAGAGGGAGGAGAAGCCTACAGTGTCCCAGTTCAATACCATGACGGCTCTTCCAACTGTTCCCCGACCCTCTGATTTGTAGGGATGCAGGACTTCAATTACATACACACCAACTGCTTTGAGATTACCCTTGAATTAAGCTGCAATAAGTTCCCACCACAGGAGGAACTGGAACGTGAGTGGCTGGCAAACCGAGAAGCACTGGTCACCTACTTGGAGGAGGTAATGAAGCTGCCAGGAAGCCACCCTGTCCCCTCCTAGTGCCTCAGCTGGGGCTTGACCTCTGTCCCATGTTCATTACATGGGGGGGAGGCTGTCAAGTACTGTCCCATAGAATTAAGAAAGCCCTGTTCCTGGTCTTGATAGTGTGAACTGCTATTGTATCCTCCCCAAGGGCCAGGATCCCAGTCATAATGCCTCTCCGCATCTGTCTTCTGCAGATTCACCAGGGAATCAAAGGTTTGGTGCTGGATGAGAACAACAATAAACTGGCAGGTGCTGCCATTTCTGTCCAAGGAATTGGCCATGATGTCACCTCTGGTTTGTACCCAGCTTGACCTCAGGCTTGTTTTCTTAAGTAACACTTGCATTATTTTACATTTATTTACATTTCCAACTTATGTGAGTTGAATGCAGACCATCCATTAATTAGGACATGAATTTGCTTTGAAAAGTATATTCCTCTGCTTTTTGTATTGTGTGAATATCCCACCCCTTTCTCATGGCTATATAAAGCCTGTCCTTCAATATGTCCTGCAGAAGCAAAGGAATACGGCAGATATTACAAGGCTGGTAGAGACCGTGCATATGTTTGTGATGTACTGTACAGTCAGAGACTGTGCACATATCTGTGTACGGTCTTGTACACCCACTTCCAAGATCCATTCATCTTCCTCTGAGATACCAGAGACTACCAGAATTAGTAGAATCAGAGATGGAGGGTTGGACCTATCAGTCTGTCAGCAGAGGTTGCTGGCAGACACAGATCTTCCCTGATTTCCCTTCTCCCTAACAGCCCCTTCTTGATTGTCGATTCCTGGGGTCACAAGTGCTTCATATGAAGCAACAGCCATGTGGGTCAGTGGGCCACAGTGCAGAGGAGGAAGGGGGCAAAATCACCCTTCCTGTCTCTTCCATCAGTGGAGCTGCACTGATAAAGGAGGCATGAGGGAGTGATCTCCCCCCCCCCTTCTCAGTGCCTACTGACCTGAAAGATGGTTACTTGATGTGGGTCCCGTGACTCAGAGAATCAGCTTTCCCATATATAAATACTAAAAGATTCAGAACTTTTCTTGTGAGATTTTTGGTGTGCAGGATTGGTGTCTAATGGCTGAATTCTGGGAGTGGTCCACTTGTTCTCCGACCTGGCACACAATGGGAGATTGGCAATTGGTGGATCTGTAATTCAGCAGCACTCCTACTAGAGGAGCAGTTAGCACCCCTGCAGACATGAGGTTGTGCTTTTTTTTGTTCTGCCATTTCCATCTTCTCAGCATCTCATTCTTTCTTCCAGGTGAGCATGGTGACTATTTTCGACTGCTGTTGCCTGGCACTTATGATGTTACCGCATCAGCAGATGGGTATCAGCCACAGACAGTGATGGTGACAGTGGGTCCAGCCGGACCCTCAGTGGTAAGTTCTGCTACCAGGCTGAAGGTAATAGGTTATGTCAAATGGGCCATAAGGACATGAATTGGGGTAAGACCAGCAGAGAAAAGAAGAAGAAACGTTGATTGGTACTGTACTGGCTGGCAAGCTCTGTATCTCTGGCTGCCACACCCTGGTCTATTTGTCAGAGGAAAAGCGGCAAGAGGTAGGTTCCAAAGTCTGGTGTCGTTCAGTCCAGAGTCAGGACTCCAGAGATCAAGGAGTGTCATTCAGTCCAAAGTCAGAAAGTCAGAGATTAAGCAAAGCAGTGTTGTTCAGTCCAAGTCAGAGTTCTAGGAATCAGGCAAGGCAGTGGCAGCAGGTCAGCGTCTAACGTACGCACTGCATCCATGCCCAGCAGCCTCCCTTGGGCAGCTTTATAGCCACATGCCTAATTGTCAAGCCTTCAGCCAGTTACTCAGGAACAGTCTTGCAATAACTCATTATTTGTTATCAGCAAGCAGCTGGCATCAGGCCAGGAGATGTGCACTTTGCCATCTTGCCAGCAGCTCCATTCTCAGCCTCCACCTGCGGCTCTGTAAGTCTGTAGGTTATACCAGAGGGCTGGGAAAGGCCAACTGACTTTCACCTGCTGAGCCGGGGCTGGAGGATGGTGATGGCTCCACAACAGTTGTTGGCTGTAAATCCTGACAAGCTCGCAGCTCATTTTCCTGCTGGTCAGCTTCTGTCAACTCTGGGCTGGCTACATACAGTTCCTCTTCTCTTGAGGAGTCCTTGCTATTGCCAAGCCCTGGCTGACGCATGACAGGTACCCTGAAACAAAACTGGTGGAAGTAATGGGAATATGGGGAACATCTCTGTCCTGAGCACACACACACAACTTGTGTGACACAACTGTGCCTCCTCTTTCAAACAGTGGTGGGACTGAGGTCCCTCACAGTCATCTTAGATACTGCCCTATCTGTTATTTGTTTAGAAGGATACACAACCAGTGGTCCAGGCTAGTTAATTTTAAAAAAGGCCATCTCATATATGGAGCATCTCCTAGCACTTTGGGTGTCCTGCCAGAACCTTCACTGAGGAAATATTTCCGTTTCTAAGGCTGTGTTACCACTTGCTTTCCAAAGTTATAAAATATGTAATTTTATACACTTCTGTTATGTATTCAGCCTGACATGCCCGGACTTGCCCGGGCTGGCCAGGCACAACTCTTCAATAGCTACATGTCCACAGACAATGGGTCCGTAGGATCCTAGCCGGCCCAATCAAAGGGCCAGCTTCTCAGCCGGGAGACCAATGGTCGCCCGGTTACTGTAAATAGCCTATCGGGAGTAGGGGGTGTGTTTAGGTGTACTTGGTGGCGGGTTTTCTGAACCTATATAACCAGCCTGCGAGCTGGTCCCTTCGTCTTTGTCCTGAACTAAATAAAGGTATGCTTAGCTGAAATCACTCTCCGTCTGCATACTTTTCACTGGCGACGAGGATGGGATCCACGACCCCATGAACAAAGACCCGGACGCCAACGCGAGCACCGCACCGAGCCCCGACGCCGAGACCTCCGGGAACCGCGCCGCTTCGCTTCCCAGCTCTCCGGCAACCGCTCATCGCGCAGCTCCCGGCTCCGCTTCGCTCCCTGCTGACCCCGAGAGCAGCAGCGGCCTCCACAACGCTCCCGACGCCATCGCCGTTCCAGAGGCCACCCCACCACGTGGCTGCAACACAATGGCGACCGCGACCGCAACTGAAAGCCTGCCCGCTTTCGATCTCTCCCAGCCCTCGCTGTGGGACACCTGGCTGGACACGCTGGAGAGCCGCTTCACCATCCACAAGGTGGTGGATGACGCGATGAAGAAGGCTTACCTGCTGAGCCACTGCGGAATCCAGACCCATCGGCTCCTCAAGGACTTAATCTCGCCCAAACTAACGAAGGACGAGTCATACAGCTCCTTAGTCCAGGCCCTGACCGACCATCTGGCTCCCAAACCCACGAAGTACGTGGAGCGGTTGGACTTCTTCGCAAGAGTTCAGGGCCCCAGCGAAACCACCTCCGATTTTCTGGCGGCGCTGCGGAGCCTGGCGACCCGGTGCTCCTTCCCCAGCCTCGACGATACCCTCCTGAACCAGTTCCTCGTCGGACTCCGGGAGCCGAAGCTGCAGAGGAAACTGGTGAGCCAGAACGATCTGAGCCTGGACAAGGCCATCCGGGAGGCCTCAGCATACGAACAAGCGCGACAAGACCGCCGCGCCAAGGCGGTCCACCGTACCCAAGTGAGCAGCGGCTCCGACGTCTCGGACCAAGAGGAAGTCCTGCAACTCCGACAGCGGACTCAGCAGCGACCAAAACACGCATCCTCCAGGACCAACAAGGCCCCGTCTCCAAGCCAGTGCGCCAGCTGCGGGGAGGGCCACGAACGCCGGTCGTGCCGTTTCCGGAATGCGGTCTGCCGCTCCTGCAACAAGGCCGGACACATCGCCAAGGTCTGCCGGTCCCAGGGACAACGACCGAGATCGGCCACCCACCAGACCACCGCGGAACTGCCCCTGGAGCTCCACACCGTGTCGTCCCACTTCCCACAGCACCAGGTCTGTAACCTGCCCCCCGACGGCCCAAATAAAATGCATGTGACGGTCCTCATAGAGGGAGCCCCCTGCACCATGGAGATCGACACCGGGTCGACCTACTCCATAATATCCGCGGACACGCTCCGTTCACTGTGTCCTCAGGGGGGGCCACCACTACAGAAGTCACGGGGTTTCCGGTTACGGGACTTTAACAAAAACCCCGTGGCGGTGGTGGGCTGGGGCAAGTTCCGGGTCCAGTTTCAGGGCTTCAAGGGCCAACTGGACCTACTGGTTGTGGACCGCCCCCTCTCCAGCTTGTTGGGACTGGCCTGGTTCAAGGCCCTGGGGCTCTCCGTTACGGGCATCAACCAGGTTGGAGCACAGGATTTCGGGGCGGTGTGTGCAGAATTCCCCCGCGTCTTCGATGGGACCCTGGGGCGGTACACGGGCCCCGCCATCTCCCTGGACCTAGACCCAGCGATACGCCCCATACGCATCAGGTCCCGGCTGCCCCCGATCTCCATGAGGCCGAAGGTGGAGGCCGAGCTTGATCGCCTGGTTGAGCAAGGCGTGCTAGAACCTGTGGCGTCGGCCCGGTGGGAAACCCCCATTGTCACACCAATCAAGCCGAACGGGGACGTCCGCATCTGCGCGGACTATAAATGTACCATAAACAAAGCCCTACAGCCCCACGCATACCCGGTGCCGGTAGTAAGCCAAGTGCTGGCGGCCCTGGCCGGGGCCCGGGTGTTCGGCAAACTGGACTTGGCCCAGGCGTACCAGCAGCTACCGGTGGACGCCGCCACGGCCGAGGCCCAGACCATTGCGACCCACAAGGGGGCCTTCAAAGTGCACCGCCTCCAGTTCGGGGTCTCAGTCGCGCCGGGGATCTTTCAATCTTTTATGGATTCCCTTCTTAAAGGCATCCCCGGAGTTCAGCCGTTTCTAGACGACGTGCTGATCGCCGCGCCAGACCCCTCGTCCTTCGCAGACCGTCTGAGGGCCGTTTTACAGCGCTTCGACGCGGCGGGCCTCAAGGTGAAACGGGAGAAGTGCCTACTGGGGGTGCCGCGGGTGGAGTTTCTGGGCTTCGCGGTGGACGCCGCCGGCCTGCACCCCTCCCAGGACAAGGTAGAGGCCATCACGCACGCCCCGGCCCCGAAGTCCAAGACGGAGCTACAGGCGTTCCTGGGCCTAGTGAACTTCTACCACTCCTTCTTGCCCCTGAAGGCGGCCGTCGCAGAGCCGCTCCACCGCCTCCTCGACAAGTCAGCACCATGGGTCTGGGGGCCTCCGCACGCCGCGGCTTTCCAAACAATAAAGGACCTCCTGGTCTCTAATGCGGTCCTCGCCCATTTTGACGAGGCCCTTCCCGTGGTGCTGGCGTGCGACGCTTCTCCCTATGGGGTCGGGGCGGTCCTGGGGCACAGACTACCGGATGGTCGCGAGGTCCCGGTGGCCTACTACTCGCGGACACTGTCGTCGGCCGAGCGCAACTACGCGCAGATCGACAAGGAGGCGTTGGCAATCGTGGCAGGGGTGAAAAAATTTCACCACTACTTGTACGGCCGTCCGTTCACGATCCTGACGGACCACAAGCCCCTGCTGGGCCTCCTCGCACCCGACCGGCAGACACCGCAGATAACCTCGCCCAGGGTGCTACGCTGGTCCATCTTCCTGGCGGGGTATGCGTACGACCTCGTCCATCGGCCCGGACAGGCGATGGGCCACGCTGACGCTCTGAGCCGCCTGCCCCTCCCCAAGTGCGACCCGGACCCGGCCCCCGCGCTCCTAGTTGCGAGCCTGGAAGCCCTCACGGACCAGCCGGTCCATGTTTCGGAGGTGGCACGCTGTACCTCCAAGGACAAGACATTGGGAAGGGTCTTGGACTGGGTGGTGAGGGGGTGGCCCGAGGCCAAAGGAGACCAGGACATCGCCCCGTTCGCCACCCGGAAACACGAACTCTCAACCCACAAGGGGTGCTTGCTGTGGGGAAGCCGGGTGGTCATCCCCTCGCCTTTAAGGGAACGGGTACTCACCGCCCTGCACGAGACACACCCCGGGGTGGTGCGGATGAAAGCCCTGGCCAGGAGCTATGTGTGGTGGCCAGGACTGGACGCGGACATTGAAGGGGTGGTCAAGAGGTGCCAGCCCTGCCAAGCCTCGCGGCCGGAACCACCCCGAGCGCCCGAGAGGGCCTGGGAATCCTCCCACCGTCCCTGGTCCCGCCTCCATCTGGACTTTGCTGGACCCTTCCAGGGCAAGCTGTTCTTCATCCTGGTGGACGCATACAGCAAGTGGCTGGAAGTGGTCCCCGTGCCCTCCACATCCTCGCAGGCCGCAATCCGGGCCATGTGGAGGATCTTCAGCGGCCAAGGGATCCCCGACACGCTGGTCACGGACAATGGAACCGCGTTCACCTCGGCCGAGTTCCAGGCTTTCACCAGGTACTACGGGATCCGCCACGTCCGATCCGCCCCGTTCCACCCTGCCACGAATGGCCAGGCGGAGCGCATGGTGCGCACCACAAAGGACGCACTTCGCCGACTGGACTCCACCGATTGGGACTATAAACTAGCAGCCTTTCTCTTCGGACAGCGTACCACGCCACACACCACGACCGGCCGCTCCCCGGCCGAACTACTGCTGGGCCGCCGCCTGGCCTCCCGACTGGATCGGTTACACCCAGACCGAGCAACCCCGGAGGCCCCGGGCACCGAGACGTACGAGTCGGCCAGAGGGTTCTTTCCAGAGGACCCGGTGTACGCACGAAACTACGGCCAGGGGCCCCGATGGATCCCGGCCCGAGTTGTACGGGTCAAGGGCCCCCGTTCGTACGAGGTCTCCAGCGAGGATGGCCAGATCCTCCACCGGCACATAGATCAGCTGCGCCGTCGCACGCTACAGCTGGACCCTGAGGATCCGGACGAGGACCCAGAGCCTGCCACATCGGCCCCACTCCCGGCACCGGATCCACAGCCGCCTCTCCGTGAGGAACCCGAGGCACCTCACACCGTGGTGCCAGCCTGTCCTGCCTCCTCGGCGCCCTCGTCGGTCCCAGGCCCCTCGGCTCCCAGGGCCCCCGAGACCGAACCCATCGCTACCCCGGGGCCCCGACGCTCGACGCGGCCCAAGAAGCCACCCGCCTACTTGAAGGACTTCGTCTGTGGGTGCCTTCTGAACCAAGGGGGGAGGGGTGTTATGTATTCAGCCTGACATGCCCGGACTTGCCCGGGCTGGCCAGGCACAACTCTTCAATAGCTACATGTCCACAGACAATGGGTCCGTAGGATCCTAGCCGGCCCAATCAAAGGGCCAGCTTCTCAGCCGGGAGACCAATGGTCGCCCGGTTACTGTAAATAGCCTATCGGGAGTAGGGGGTGTGTTTAGGTGTACTTGGTGGCGGGTTTTCTGAACCTATATAACCAGCCTGCGAGCTGGTCCCTTCGTCTTTGTCCTGAACTAAATAAAGGTATGCTTAGCTGAAATCACTCTCCGTCTGCATACTTAGTCCAGCCTCTGTTGATTAAATTATGAGCAAGCTTTTTTCCATATCTCTTCCAGAAACATGGCAACTTTCATAGATTATAGTTCAAAAGGTGCTGTATCTGTTCTCCCCCTCCTCAGTTCTTTAACCTGCTGTCTATTTCCCACAAGACCTAGTATAGTTTTGGGATCTACAGGTGTGTTTTACCTCAGCTATCCTATTTCATACAAAATATTACAGGTTTCCATCTGGCAATGCTAGAGTGTTGGGATGAGATGTGATTTTCATCCTGAGATGCTAAAATGATCATAGCTCTCCTCCCATTATTATCTCCTTGACATAGTGGGATGGGAAACAGACTTCGTATCTCAGTTGCTGGTAGGAACCACTTGAAAGGACAGATTAATCTCATTGAATTTACCCGTTCTACTAGTTTGTGTTCTTACACAAGGAATAAACAAAAAGATTGGCTAAGCAAGTTTGTCCTAACATTCCCTCTAGTACAATATACTTTTCACCAGAGGTAGATTCGGGGGGGGCCTCCCCCGAGGCCACTCCAGTGGCCTCCGCAAGGACTCCCAGCCCCATCCAGGAGCTTCCCCGAGGTAGCTGTGTTAGTCTGTTGCTGCAAAATAGTCCAAGAGTTCAAATAGCACCTTTAAGACTAACAAATAGCACTTTAAGACTAACCTTTAAGACTAAGACTGAGAGGTGGGTGTGGCCTTATGACACAGTTCCGGAGATGTCAGGGGGTGTGGCCTTATGACACACTTCCAGTTATGTCAGGGGTTGTGGCATATGCTAATTAGTTATGCTAATGAGTTCCCCTAGCTCTTTTTCTACAAAACGACCCCTGCTTTTCACCATCAACTGCCTCACATAGAATGCCACCCACCTGGACTTCAAGGTGGCATGCAGCCATTCACACAGCCTGTAGCTTTCCTCAGATTGTGTGGCTGTGGGTCTCTTTGTTCTCCCCCAACTTCTCTGTGAGTTTCACATCTTCTCCAGCCTAGCCCACCCCCACTGTTTTATTTTGCTCTCAGAGCGAACGCTGCCAGCTTCTCTGGAATGTTTTTAATATATCTTTTGATAATTTACTGAGAGGCTTTACTGCCAGGGAAACCCTCTCCCTCACAGAGGAGGGCTCTGGGTTTGGGGAATAAAGCTACGATTCAGGAACTTGGCTGAGCAACATATTAGGAAGAAGTGAGATAGATACTTAGTGCTGACTAGCTCAGTCCCTAGCAAAGGCCTCCTCATTCCATAAGAGCTTAAAATAAATATGTTTTAATTAGACTTACTGAGATCTTGTCATTTCGAGCATGGAATCCAGGGGAAGCAATGTTCTTATGTTTCAACCTTTTCACCATAAGTATTTGTGCACGTATTTGTGTATGAGACCTAATGCCATTTCTGAGAAAGCTGTGGTCTGTGCTTGTTTGTATACTTATATCGATACACAGCAATGTACCATAATCTCTCATTATTCCTTCTCAGTCATCAATATGTTTTTTTGCTGCATTGTAGATAGCAGCAATTTTAAGAAGACCCTCTTTAAACTGGCAAATTCTATCATAGTATTGTTTATTCTGCAACAGAGCAAGATTTGAGCTTGAACATACAAAGCTGCCTTAAACTCAATCAATCCGTTGATCCATTTAACTCATCCACAACTGCAGTACTCCAGCGTAGGGTTGCCCGTCTCCAGGTGGTATACCAAAGCAAGATAGAAAAGGCAATCTCGGTGTATGGATATCCAAACTAGAGAAAACAATCACCAAGCAATTGATAATTAATAAAGCCATCACAAAATCTTATGAAATAATCTTAAATATAGTTTTATGGTATTTTCTATCTTATACTGTATGTTGTCAAATGTATGTAAATTATTTTAACAACATGGTTCAGTATATACAAATTATATTCTAATACAACCATTAATATTCTAATATATAGATCCACTAAATAACAATGGTATGGAACCAAGGCCTGCAGCCACAAAAGCCTCAGTTCTAGATTGTTCTATAATTTGTATATACTGAACATATCTTTAAAAGAATTTACATATATTTGACAACATACAATATAAGAAGTTACCATCAAACTATATTTAAGATTATTTCATAAGATTTTGTGATGGCTTTATTAATTATCAATTGCTTGGTGATTGTCTTCTCCAGTTTAGTCTCCAGGTGGTGGCTAGAGATCTCCCAACATTACAACTTGTTCTTAGGTTACAGAGATCGGTTTCCCTAGAGCAAATGGCTTCTTTGGAGGGTGGACTCTATTTATGGCATTGTAGCTCACTGACATCCCTCCCCTCCCCTCCCCATACCCTCCCTTCCCCAGGATTTACCCCAAAAATCTCCAGGAATTTCCCAACAGAGAGCTGGCAAATCTATTCCAACTGGTAGTGGGTCTCCAATGTATTGGGCAGAGAAGGATCCTTCCCACCACCTGCCTGCTGTCTGCGATCCTTTAACTGGTGATAGTAGGGACCAGACCTTTTGTATACAAAGCATGTCTTCTGTCACTTAGCCACGACTCAACCCCTTAAATTACTTGATTGACAACATCTTGATCTCAGCAAATCCACATTACAGGAAACCTATGGACTATACTTACACTAATGATCACACAAAGAGGAGAATGGGATTGCACCTGCTAGCTCAGCCCCAACCTCCATGTGTTGAGTGGATTGTCTGAACATGTGCAGGATCTTCCATTTGATCAGGAATGCTGCAACTTCACTAACTGTGCATACACTGCTTACATATTTATATTTGTATGCACATAGGGCTCTGTTCAGACCTTCAGTTGAAAATGTGAAGGTCTGAGGATGTATGTGTTCAATGCATGTGCCTTAGAATGTATGAAGAGGACTGATGTAAGAGGGACATAGTATGTGGTTTGGCGTAGAATGGTAGCTGCGCTCCAATGGTCTTCTCTGTTCCAGGTGAATTTCCAACTCAGAGAGAGCACAGCAGACCACACCCCTGGTCCAAAGATTTCTGACAAAGGCTCCCACAGTAAAGGTCTGCACAAGAAAGTTGTGCCACGAGCTGCCCCAGAAGACAGAACTCAGCTAGATGGAAGCTGATGGAATCATGTTTAACATGAGATGTCAACAACTCTAGCAGATGAACTTTCCAAGAGGCACCCACACCCTCTCCTGTCCCCCACAAGCATGGAATGAGCTCAGACGTCCTTGTTTATTAAATGTCTAATATTTAACTTTGGTGCCGATAGAAAAGTCATTCAGGAAGGAGGGATAAGTATTAGAGCTGGGGCCCAAGCAACTATATATGAAGTGTAGGTTAGGAAAGCAGACACACGTAAAATTTGCAGAGCAGGGGCAGGCGTTCAGAAGCACCTAACTCCACTTGATCCCCTTGTCCTCTTTGGGTGAGTTCTGAAGAAACCTGTCCTGCATAGTTCAAGTTGAAAGAGAGACAGCCATGTGTGGATGGTACTGAGTGGGTCACTACTTTTGGATGCTCCAATATGCCTCTGACCCCAGTCCCAGATATAAGAGTGTAGGTGGAGGCAAAAAGGTGTTCCTATAGGACAGCAGATCCAGCATCCCACATTAGATCCCCACAGAGACAGCAAGATTGAGAATGAGATCCTGTACTTCCCAAGGTGCTTTAGCCAACTCACAGCTCTCGCTCTCTCCTTTTCTCCCTGTCTGTTCTAAACTCAAACTGCTCCTTCTTCTTACACCTTCCTCTCAGTGGGCTGTTTCCTATTCCATGCTTTTCCAAGTTTTGTGGGCCGTTTCCATACTGCTTAGCACCCACTAAGGAAACATCCACAGTCACTGAGAAACGTTAAAGGGTGGAAGAACCAAAGTAGTCATTGAGGCAAATTAACATGCTTTTGTCACAGGCCTGGGCTCCTGTCCCTTTAAGCCAAACTTATTCACATTGCTCACAAAATAATCAATGTAGATACACTAATTTTTATTTAAAAAATTAGCCAGCTTTCCTGAAGAATGCAGGAAGAGGCCAAACTGACAGCTGAAGCAACAGTTCTGTTGATGGTATGCAGATAAGTTACACATGCTGTGGAACTGGGTACACACTGAGTGAAGAGAACCAACACACTGTGAACATTTGGCTTCTTTCTTTACCATGCATGTTCTCAAACTGGGCTTTCTAATGAGGTCCTTTTACTTCTGCCCTCCCCTTAAAAGGCTGATCTCTTGCCAAGCGAGTATCCTGAATCATCAATTTCTCAGATGTATTTGCGCAATAGCAGTAGCCCTGAAATGTTATTTTCTAGGGTTGCCAGCCTCCAGGTGGGGCCTGGAGATCTCCCACTTTTACAACTGGTCTCCAGCTGACAGAGATCAGCCCCCCTGGAGAAAATGGCTGCTTTAAGGGTGGACTCTGTGGGACTGTACCATGCTGAGGCCCCTCCCCAAACCCTACCTTCCCCCGGATCCACCCCCAAAGTCTTCGGGTATTTTCCAACCCAGACCTGGCAACTCTAGTCTTTTCTCCTCCCACCCTCCAGTTTGGCTTACTGTAGAAAGAGGGAAAAGATCAATTAATCGATTAAGCCATAGATCATACTGTTAATATAACAATAACCTCAAAACCCTTTAAAATGCACTTTCAACAGTAATGTATTAACTACAAGGTCTTCAGTATAACAATAAAAAATTAAAATCAGTTAAACCTGATGTTTGAAAAAGAAGATTGGTTTTATACTTCACCCTTCACTATCTGAAGGAGTCTTGGAGTGGCTTACAATCACCTTCCCTTTCTCTCTCCACAAGAAACACCCTGCAAGTTAGGTAGGGCTGAGAAAACTTTGAGAGAGCGGTGTCTGACCCAAGGTCACCCATCTGGATTCATATGGAGGAGGAGTGAGAAATCAAACCCGTTTCTCCAGATTAGAGCCCTGCCACTCTTAACCACTACACCAAACTGACAGAGTCAGCATATCACGGGCTTTCATTCTGGCAGCAGCCACATTCCCCCCCCTTTTAAATATTCAAAATATGTTTTCGCTGAAACCATTGCTAAATAATGTCACATTTCAGGTTGGTGGTGAGCCAGTTTATGACTTTTTAATACTGACCTGAGCGCACCTTTCCAAACACTGTAATGCAAATGGTGCTGTGGTGGGAGGTCTTTGACCCTCTCTGACTCACAAATATAGTAGCTAATATTTGTAGCAATGCCCATTTAACCACACAGGACATAAGATGATAACACAGAACAGTAATTCCCCTGCTTAATTCAGTAAGATAATTTTTCACACAAATGCTACTGTTTGATAATGTGTGGAGATGGAGAAACCTTTGAATTTTAAGACTAATCTCACTCAGATAGCAAGCTCATTGGGGGAGGGACCAGAAACGCTTATGCTTTTCAGAAAATGTGGCTATAAAAATGAAGAAGTGAGCTGTGACTCACAAAAGCTCATACGGAAATAATGTTCTTAAGAAGTGTGCGTGCACATGGAAGCTCACACCTTGAATAAAACTTAGTTGGTCTTAAAGGTGCCACTGGAGTCAAACTTTGTTCTGCTGCTTCAGACCAACATGGCTACCCTTTGCAATGATAAAAGTAAGGCAAGGCAGTCTTGAGTAAAATTCTAGAGAAGTAATGTTAATGTATTGTAGCAAAATAAAACAGAAGTCTGGTAGCACCTTAAAGACTAACAATATTTATTCCAGCATAAGAACAAATTCAGAGTCCAGTGGCAGCTTTAAGAACAACAAAATTTTATTCAAGGTATGAGCTTTCGTGTGCACACACACTTTTTCAAATACATAAGTTTTCGTGAGCCAGAGCTTTTCCTCAGACGCCTCTAGGAAACCCTGTAGTCTTCAACAGCATCAAAATGAGACATAGGATGCTGCCCTCTTGAGGCCCCTAGAGAGCAATACCATGGAGAAAGTTCTGAGTGGCTTTCAGAAGAAACTTTATAAATGGTTTTGGCCCAAATAAAAACAATTACATGGGGTTTTTTTCTTTTTTGGATTTTGCATGGGCCACTAAGATTGGCTACAACGTCTTCCTGAATATTGCATAGTTTTCACAGACAACACAGACACCCTTATCCGGTAGTCAGAACTGTAAGGGCAAGCTATGCCACATTAATCAAGCAAGGATAGCATAAGCCCATTTGGATGTTAGGCATCTGATGCCAGTTATTTTACATTACCTTTCTGATCTGATCACTACCTTTCCTGCCAGCACATTAATACATACCACTGTCATGCATACACCACTTCTATTTTGCAAAACACCCTATAATGTTTATTATGTTTACTCTTACAACAGCTTCATTTGTAGTCGCCAGAGTGGTTTGAATTCCCACTCTGGCGCAGAAGTATGCTGGGTGACCTCACACCTCACACTGTCACGACAGGGCCAGTGGGGCAAGGCAGAGAGGGGGAGTTCACAGTTCAGTCCGAGAGTCAAGCCAGAGAGAGAGCAAAACAACTAGAGCAAAAGTCCCAATACATAAAGCCAGGCCGTAATCAGAGCATTACCGAGAGTCAGAGTCCAGCTAGGCAAGCGTCAACGTCAGGGTGCAGAGCCGAGGATCAAGAGCCAGGGGGTCGTCAAAACGCGGACTGGAGCCAGGAGCCAGGAAGTCAGTCAGTAGCCGGATACCAGGAACAGAGTCAGAGGTGCAGAGCTTCTGGTCCAAAGGACGAGTTTGCCAGCACGATTAGCCAGCAGTTAGCGAACTATTCAAATAGCTCGCTGGGTTGTTAACTCATTAGTGCCTCATTAGCACTGCCTCACGAAGTCCTTGATCCCGCTAGAACTCCGCGCTTATTGATCTCCAACCGTGCAAGCGTGCCGCTTTGTGTCTGGTTGCCAAGTCCCGGCATCTCCGATCCCTCAGCCGGTTGACAGGTGGTGGAGAATCAGGTGGCGTGCTGCTGGGGCCAGGCACTGCCTGATTGGTTTCAGGTGCAGGCTGTTCTGGAGGCTGGTGCTCATCCTTTCTGGGACTTAGGTTTGACAAAGACTCCTGTGCCTCTGATGGTGTTAAAGGCATGGAGTCCTCAGTTTCAGAGCTTCCAGGCGCCGGGTCGGGGGCAGGCATGATACACTCCAGCCCCTCCCTCTTAACCTAATCTACTTCACAGGGCAGTTGGTGTAAGGATAAATGGGGGGGAGGTGTTGTTGTAAGCCACTTTGGCCCCATATTGGGGAGAAAAGTAGGAGAATGACTATCTAAAACAAATGAATAAACTGCTATTACTCCTGTTGACAGACAACTTGTTCAAGGGCCATCAGGCCATCACATCAACTTTTGTCATCTGGCATTCTTTTACCCACTACCCAGACTCCTAACCTCTTGGAGATTTCTGTACCCTTCTGTACGGCCACTCTGTCCTCTTGAGGCTTAATGGTTCAGTATTTCCAGTTTATGTAATTAATTCACTTGAAAGATTTGTGCCCCACTTTTCAATCAAATGACTGCTCTCCTTGGAAAGGTAAGGGGATGTTCCCATGTTACTAATTCCCCTTGGGTTAGGATTAGTACACCATAATGCTAAAGGTGCAACTGTAAGTGTGAAAAAACTTGTGTTTTTCTCTGCATAAATTTTTATTAAATTTTAACTTTTAACATCAACAAAAAATAAAACATTTCTACAATATTATATTATACCATTGTACAAAAATCATACACTGTATGCTTTTTCTTAATAAAAATAAATCATAACTACATTATTACTTTCCGTTTTTAATAAAAGGCAAAATCAGTATATTTGTGGGGTAGGCTCCAGCTTTTGTTTTTTGGGTCATTGATAAATTCAAAAAAGGGAAACCATTTTTCCAAAAAAATATTCTTTTTAGAGGCTGTTTCAGTCATTACAATCTGTGATGCCAATTTATCCATTACAGCTATCTCCCAAAGTTTCATAAACCATTGTTTAATGGATGGGGCCTTATTGGTTTTCCATAACTGTGCTATTAAGGTTTTTGCTGCTGTCATGAATAATGCCACTAATTCAGACTTCAGCTTTGTAAGCCGAGGGGTAGGCCAATAAAGTAAAAGAACTGATTCTGGTGTTCTAGGAAGTGTGCATTGCAATATTTTAAATCCAATACCTTTGACCAA